GTGCCATTTCCAACTCCGTTTTGGGGATGAGATGCGAGTAGAGCTCCGGAAACCAGCGGAAGCTAACAGCTAGTTTAGCAAAGCTATCGTGTTGCAGGCCACAACAACAACAACAACAGCCGCTAACTCTATTTACCTCGAACAAAACAGCTGAAGACGACCTGCTTCATCTACCGACCTTCTTGGTATTATTCACAAGGTGATTAGCTAGTTATGTAACGTGCTACTCGTTCACTTCACACAAAGGAAACAACTCCACCGATCCAGTGTCTTATCCAGACTTAGCACTCCCGTGTGTTCAACACTGCCTTTGGTTTCTCAGTGGGCGGCGTTCAGAGGAATGCTGCCTTCACTGCCTTCCCGTAAACTGCACCACCGTAAAACTGACGTAACTATTCGTTTAGTTTTGACATTCAGCTGTGGTGGTTGTTGCTTTTAGAAACCGCATTTAGAAATTGCCTTTTCATAAACTTTACACCAAAGACAAGTAGCGATTTATAAAACAATAGAAAATGAAAATAGAGAGAGTCATTGCCGGAAAGACTGCAGCTGATAGTCTAATGACTTTTACGACCTGGGTTGGATCGTTTTATAATTGGTTTAAAATATCATTTCCGGGTAACTATGAAGGTAGCACAGTAGTCTGATGTTCAGTTCCATGTCACTGTGATAATATTTAGTCTATAACAAACTATTTAAAATACACTTTTAAATACAAAGTCAATGACAATAAATGAGATGGTATAAAAAAAAAATCGAAGGGGTCATGTCTTGTTCTATTTCTTGATTCCTTAACGCCATCTAGTGGTCATTGCCTTGTAATACAACCAACCAATTCCAGACAACCAAATGCAGATTTGCAGTCAGGAAAGTGAACATGGAAGTTGAAAAAAAAAAATGTTTTCCGAACAAACAAAAGGTTAGTAGAAGTATTTCCAGATCTGACAAAGTGTATTAATTTTATTGAAATACCAAACACCCAACTGAAACCACGCATCCAATCCAAAGGGTTTCATAGTTTAACCCAACATTCACTGAGATAAGACAACACTGATGCTGTATTTAAAGAAAATGCTTGGCTCCATTGGGTTCCATGCATATCATGGATATTTTAAATCCAATTAGCGGTAAATAGCTTTCATGGTAAAAATCATTTAAAACTCAAGCCATCCTTTAGTGTCACGTGTATGATTTATTAACCATTTAGTATAAGAATACGTGATCATTTATAGTAAGAGAGGCTGTGCTTTGCAGAGCTCTTCACCAATTTATGACCAGTATGTTGGCTTTGCAAAGTTTGAATCAGTCAAAACTGCTTATGTTTAACATAACATTAAGTAATCAACTGAAGTTCAACATAAACTTTGGCTTAGTCCATAAAATCCCTGAAATTTAGGAACAAAATTGCTTTTTCAGTAGCGTGACACTTCTGAGTCATTTATGTGCTTTTACGGTTATCTTCCACAATGATGGTTCTTCTTGGGTAAGTGTCTACTTCCACAACGATGTAACGGAACTCATATTTTCCAGTTTCAGGATCCTGTAAAAACACAAGTTACAAGAGTCAAAATAACATTTTAAAAGTCTTATGAAAGGATGGCCGTTAAGTCAAAAGTCTTATTCTTACAAAATGGGCTGGCTAAACATCAACAGAAATTCTTTGGTATGTCACATCCATGTGAAAAACAATCATACAAACCTCCTTTGACTCCGAGTGTACAGTTCCCTTGAGGCCTGGCTCAGAGCCTTCGATGTAAAACTTTAGTTGCATGTACTTCCGTCCATCCTTCAGGTACTCAAAGTGACTACAGCGGAAACACACACCCACACATTAGTACAAATTATTGCATTACCTCAGCACTACCACCTACTCACATATGCTTACCCATGTCTAAAACTGTAGATCCTATTTAAAACTAAAGTTCCAACATATGTCTTGTTTTTTTTAAAGGATGCTAAGCACGACTACTCTTGACTTGATGGAAGACTTTCATGTTATTTAATTAGTTTATTAGCTAGCACACAAAAGTAGTATAATTTTAAACCCTTGAACCAGCTAGAAATGCGCCATTCATTCATTAGCCAAAGTGCAAATAAACACTTCATATGAGCAGAGTAAAGACAAAAATCCCACCTGACTTGTTGCCTCCTTCCTCGACGGGTGGTCTCCCCGTAACACTTGATTGGCTCCCCAAATGCGCCAATCACCTTCATTTTCAACAGACACAAATGTTTCATTACATCATACTTTTTCACAGGGATGACTTCAAAGACTTTCCCTTTGGTTGCAAAAGTATTCTTTTGTAAAGCTCACAGTCATACCACATTTAGAGCTAGCTAACATACATTACAGTACTGAAAACAAAATGTCTTTTTTTTAAAAAACATTAGGACTTCATATTTATTAAAAAAGATTAAAAACATGTCGATTGTTGAAACTGAAAAATGTCATTGTTTTGGGAAAATGATACACCTGCAGTTTTAAATTAAGAGGCAGCAACATGTGTCACAAAAGTTGGGACAGTGACAAAGTAAGACTGGTAAAGTTATGAAATGCTTGGAATGAACACCTGATGGAGCATCTATCAGTAATAAAAGGGTTTCCTGACACAGGTTAGAGACTTGTTTGGGTATAAAAAAAAAGAGCATCCCAGAGAGAAGGAGTCTATCTGAATTAAGGATGGGGAGGGGTTCACCTCTCTGTGGAAGACTGTGCTGCCAAAAATAAAATAAAGTACATGTGAAATTGTAAAGAGATTCAGAGAATGTCTGTAAGCAGGGGACAAGGCCAAACAGCGATATTGTTTCACATTTTGTGATGGACATCACTGCAAAGGCTCAGGAACACCTCTAAGAAAAGACGTTGTGGTAATTTAAAAAAAAAAAATCACGCTTTAGCATTATAGACTAAGAACATGGACACTGTTTGGCTTACCTCTGGATCCAACCTGACTTTGTTGTAGGCTTTCCCGTAGATTTTATTTGGACTTGTTGAAGAAAAAAGCTCCTGAAACACCACATACAGCAGCCCACCTGAAACACAGAACCAACAATATTAATATTATTAGCAGGATCTGTTATCTGACTTGTGACAAGATCTTAAATCTTAATGGAGATGCTTGAAATCGTGAGAGTATTGTCACCTGTCACTCCGAGCCCGATGAGTACAATGATCAGGTAGGTAAAGTCTCTGCCAGCATCTTTCACTGGAAACATAACAAAGGCAGGAGTTAACTATAACATTTATTACTGGATTAAAAAAAAACACCTAAAAATATGCAGGTCACGGTCTCAAAAAAGGAAGAAAAAAAAAAACAGCTTTATGCTTTGAATGAAAGGAGACAGACCATTTTAAAATGCTATAACAGGATTCTGATCACTTGGGAAAATATTTAGTCACAATTAAGATACAATGTATCGACTCAATTATCGAGATTGTGTTAAATAATAATATATTAGTTTTGAAATTTTAATGTGAGGGTTGTTGCAGGGCTGGGTGATATGGACCAAAACTCATATCTTGATATTGATTAGCGGAATGGAGATACTCGATATATATATATATATATCGATATGTATTTTATAAACAGTGAAAACACATGGAAAATGAACTACCTTTTTGTGATTTAAAAAGTAATAGGCTATTTTAAAATAAAAATGTTCCTTAAATACAATAAAAGAGAGAGAGAGAGAGAGAGAGAGAGAGAGAGAGAGAGGAGGAGCAGGGTTAAGAGGGACAGACAGTCATCTTAAGTGAGATTAGAAAAAAGTGACCTGGCACCTCTGTAAAGTTATTTTAATGCAACATTAACTATTTCGATATTAATGATATTGTCTTGCCCTATATCTCGTTTGAAAATATATCGATATATCTTAAAAAATATCGATGTATTTCCCAGCCCTAGGTTGGTGTCAAGGTTGTCATTTCTCTTACCTTACATGTGAAATAATTGTTTAGACAGTGGAAAAACTCACAATTAATTTGCATGTCAGTGTCCTGCTTACCTTTTTGTCCAGCTGAGGGCTTTGGGCTCCCACTCTGAAACCTGGAAACTGATTTTCCTCTTTCCTCGGGGCTACTTTTATTTCTCGCTGTGGAGTCGAGCGAGAAACCCCGTCGTCTCTGCACCTGGAGGAAGCAGCTGAGCGCCGGGACGACAGACCCAGGAGCCTCCCCGGTCCTCTGGAAGGTCAGTCTGGATCCTGCGGACGCCGTCCCCTGTGTGTGGATAAGCAGGCACCTCTGCATGGAGTACCCTGAAGCTTTCTGTTGTAGATTTCGGTGCAGAGCTCTCAATATCTGCGCGTAAGCCATGTTCATGTCCTCTGTGCGTTAGCTTCACTTCAGACTCTAGTTAACCTGCACACTCAGATAACAAGTGCTTAAACTACATGTAGCAACTACAGTTCAAGAGTTCAAGAGTTATAATATGAAAATAGCTCCGTATGCGACATTACAAACTATCATTTTAGTACATACTGTGTAACATGGGTGTCATTCGTATCTATCGTGGTATTTGTATACTCGAGTCGCGTGCTTGTTTCGTCACGCCATGTTCAGTGGAATCATGGGAAACAGAGTTTTTCATATAGTGCAATGTGTTTGCCTAAAAACAAATGTACAGAAAAACCTTCACATACCGACACAAAATGGTTCGATTACAGTCATAAATGGTACTCTTTATAGTTATTGATCAGATTGAAAATGTGAGTGGGATATAAACTTTATATTTAAGAAACAATCAGCTTTTAAACTATTTTCTGAAGGCTTCTATTATCAAAACATTGACAACAATGGCCAGTTGATTATCTCTTCATTATATATTTTTTGTGTGATTAATCCCACATTAATTTGTAACCTTTCACGAAATACCTTAAGTATAGTTAAAAGCATCCTTGGTGTAGTGTGGTGTAAATGTGTTGTTAAACTGTTGATAATCTTTAATATAAAATATACATACCATCCAGGTGTAACAGACCAAATGAATAATCACAATAAAGTCAGTAAACATTCGTTTATTGAAAAATTCTGTCCAGCATTTTCTTATGTTATCAAAGAAATATGCAAACAGGTTAAAAAACACAATGGAGTTTGACAAAGACAAGAACAGACAAACAGGTCAAGTTCATAAATCAGTGAAAGTAAGAGTAAATAAAGGTTAGTTGTTTGAGTAGAATCATGTATGCACCTAGTCATGAAGGTTAACAGAACTTTAATTCAAACATTCACTTTTCTTGTTTTCTCATCAAGACTTCCTGTATTTGTTTTAAAAAATCCTGATACTCTAGTGTAAATAAGGAATAGGATGTAAAATCAGCAGCTCAAATATGCAATTTCATATTACATGAAAATGATTTAAAAAACCTGATTCTGTTTTTTTTTTATTCTCCATGAACAACTTTACATTAAAGGTACGCTATTTTCAATAAAGTTCCAGGCCCATTATCTGAAATGAACAGAGTCCCTTGGCTCTTCATTCCGAGCCACTTTGTAGAGCACTGAACAGGAAGTGTCCCCTCTGCAGTCCAAAGCAAAGAAAAATCTTGATGCATACACCACAAACCTTTTATTTAAAAAGACGTTTCTCATCACAACACTCTACAATTGTAAAGTTACTCAGGACAACAGGTCGCTCAAGATGCAAGGGAGAGAAACACTTTATCTCCGAATGCTCAAACTTGGCAAGATGCAGAGGAATGATGCATCTGTCTGATGTATCTGCAGAGAAATGAAAACACTATTACTTTCAGTCTGTACTTGGTCCTCCACTTCTCTTACGTATATACTGCCTAGCTGGGCTGCTTGTGATCAAATTGTTTCAGACTTACCTAATCACTGAGGTGTCTACCACTATTAATGTGGTGGCAGATGACACTGTGTGTGTTTCAGAGAGAAAGAGAGTGAAGAAAGAGAGAGCTAGTGATGGGTGTTTGGGTGAGCTATCTTAAACTGTTTTAACAACTAAAGCGTTGGAAAAAATTAGGAAACAAAAAGACAAAACACAGACAGTAGTGCGATGCATGTATAGAAAAGAAACATTTTATTCAGTATCTGCAGACAAATGGTTCTGTGAATGACTGTGTGTGTATGGAGGAAAAACTGAGTGAAGAGCATGGAAGTAAATGATGCTCATGTGGCATTGAATACAGGAAAAAATGTACATATAGATGGCAAATTCCATAAAATCACAGTAAGAAAAAACAAAACATACTCTGACAATGACAGCGTAAGAAAAGAAGTCGTAAGCAAGTGTGTGTGAGTTGCATGAGTTGATGTTATTGTGCTCACAGCTGTTCTACTCTAATCCTTTTCCACATAATGCAGGCTGACCAAAACCAGCCTGCCAACAGTATTATTTCACTGTGAGGATAGCCCACCTCTCCTGCACTTTGTACGGGTCTGATCTCTTCAGGACAAACAGAAGAAGTCAATAAACTTGTCTTTCAGGTAAGAGTTAATAGGATTTGAGCTTTCTAGGACTAATTTTATTGTCCTGTTGAGTGAAAAAGAAAAAGTTGTTTGAATGCTCTGGAAAGCAAATCAGCCACAATTAATTCCCCAACATCCAAAAAACACGTGATTGTGAAACATGGATACTAGACTCTAACATGGAGACTGACAGTTTGAGGACACATTACATAAAGATAGAGAAACCTTTGACAAAAAAACAATGGAAATGTGAAGCGTCATTGTTTTTTTTGTTTTTTTTTTACAAAGCATCAGTGAAATCAGCCCTGAATGTTCATTTGAATAACTGTAAAAACGGCCATCTTTTCAGTTAGCCCTATAGTACAAAAGTCTGTTTTAGTACAAAGGTATTAAGCTCCTACGGTAGAGAGAGGGAGTTAGAAGACAAACAGACTTGAAGTGAATACATGGCAACTCAAAAGGAGAACTCTTTCAATAAAACGATCGGTCAAAAAGTCAGTCAACTTATTTTAAAGGGAGTTTGAGTTGAACAAGAAATGGAAGTTTAAGCGACGACATGCAGTGCAATAAATAGTGAAGATGATTTTTTTGATCACTTCTTACGTCCACATGATTTATGTATCATTAGATGGGGGGGCATTTCATATCTTAATGTTAGTGTGTTAATGCTTTTAATGGGTATAAATAAGCATGCACAAGCCACTCGGCTTTGAATTATTAGCTAAATTAAACTACGTCTGGTTCTTCCTACTGTGTTAGATTTATTTGGGTTAGTCATGAATCAATTCAAATTTCTGCTAGTCAAAAAAAAAAACATCCTCTATTGCAAGCATCTATAATAAGCCATTCAAATCATGTTTGCTATTATTTGAAACGTACATGCTTTAAAAAAATGAACTTGACGATGTTTGATCACATTCATTTTGTTATCAGTGAGAAATCTATGACAGTAACAGGTGTTCCTGGCTAACATCCCAAATTAAAAAATTGGATTAATGAATAATCAGGTTCATTGTAAAGGTCCATTTGTTTCCAGTGAGACAGAAAGAAATCTGGATTTATTACAGTACGCACATAGCTGACTTATTTTCAAAACTCTCACAGCGCTTCAGCTGCAGGATATCCTTCTAGTCCCACGTTACAGAACATTCAGTTTACTTTCAGCAAAGTGTCCCTTCATCATCATCATCATCATCATCAGCATCATGCTGGTGTAAATCCCCGCTCCGCTTTTTCATATTTCAGTGACGCCCGTTCGTATTGATCCAGGATTGCACTATTCTCAAGAAGTCTACATGATGGAGACAATGCGACATAATGTAGAACATAAGCAGACACACACACACAACAGGACAGCAAATTGATCACACATCCAGACAAAGCAACAACGAGTATCACTTGATGTGACTGCTCCATTATAACTGAATGTAATCATTACGCTGCAAACATAAACTAATACTTTATTTCCCTTTGGATCTATCTTTCACCTTTCTCACCTCAAATGTTTTTTAACTTCTTTTTTTTAATTATATGTTATTGAGCTTATTGCAAGGTCATGAGATCAAGTCATATGGAGCAATCACATTCACTTCTACACACGGGCATAAATATGGCTCACAATAAAACCAAACACAAAAAAAATCAAATGCTACGAGTGACATAAATCATGCAAACCCACAGAAGAAGTATGTATAAGAGTGTGATCAGTCAAGATTGTTTTAATTACAAAGGTATTAAAATGATTTAACCTCACTTTGCATATTCACACAGCTGCCATTTTGCTCTGACATCAAGCTCAGGTCGGGAATGAGAAAAAAATCAAAATCAACATACGTCTTCCAAAGGAATAAGTAACTGAAATGTTATTGGTCAGTGAAAATCTTTAGGGCCATGTATAGTAGGGGTGGGAATCACCAGAGTCCCCACGATACAATATTATCGCCATACTGGAGACATGATACGATTCTATTGCGATTTTTAACATTTTGCAATATGCTGAGAATTGCGATACAATATATTGCGATTAAGCTTTTTAACTGCATATTATTTCCACTACACTAAGTTGAATCAAGAACTGCTTTGTCAAATAAATAAAATTCTCAGTTTATTCATCTCACTTCAGTCTTTTTATTTGTATTCCAGTCTAAGTGAACTTTAACATGAATTCTTAACAATGCAACTTGTTCAAAATGAATTGTGCAACCCCTTAAGCAGTTAAAAAGAATATCTAAAATATCATATGAAAAATATCGATACTTGGTGCCATGATAATATCGCCACACAAAATATTGCGATACTATACTGTATCGATTTTTTACCCCACCTCTAATGTATAGTTTTAATCAACATATTTGTTAGCTAAGTTAGCTATCGACTACCAACGGAATAAAGTAAACAAAGTGCTCAGGTGCAAGCCGATACGCGTTGGTGTATTTTAATGTTTGTAGCCTTATGAACTAAAGGCCTTTTATATTTTATATTTTTCCAACCATCCCGAGTGCCTGGACCTGGATTATTTATACCGATGTTTTTTAGTCTTAAGTTTTCCTCCACTTTTTTGAAGTTTTCCCTTCCAGGAGCACCGGTGGTTTGAGGGATACCAGAAGCGCTCCTGTTCTCCCATTTTGTTTCTTAGGCACTATGTAAGCTGAACGTCAGACAGAGGTAGGGACCTGGGCGTGCTGATCCCCAGCTGATTATCTCTCTGTTGGGGAAGGAACTGAAGGTGGTGATGGAGACAGAGCCTCACCTGAAACCTTTGACCACAGCAGTTAAAAAATTGAGCTAAGCCACTTTAGCATGATTTCAGAGCAAACTAGTTACTGTGTGAATATCATTAAGGTACTTTTGTTAGCCTTTGCAAAAATTCAGATGATATAATTAAATAAAAAAATGAGGCAACATGTCTGTTTTTGTGTGTGAGTGCTTTTTTGTGGAATGAACTTGTCTTCACACAACTAATATTATAAATCACTTGCTGTAGGCCTACAGGGAGAAAGTGCACAGGTTAGACACATTTATTCAACGACAGCTTTAAATAAAGATGATTCAAAAAATCCATGCTAATGAGTAACCACTGAGTGACAGAATGTATGACCTCGAGAGGACATACAGTTTACTCGAGCATCACAAAGACTTCAAACAAACTCAGTCAGAGGGCAAGATGGCTGCAAGCAGGAAAACCATCTTGGTGAAAATGAACAATAATCAAAACGTAAAAAAAAAATCAAATAAAACCTGCGCAAAAAAACCCAACAATAATCACAGAATAGGAAACAAAAAAAGAACTTACACAAAAGTATATACTGACTGGGCAAATGATGACTACACAACATATAGTAATGTTGATTGTTGGATAAGGGTGCTTACCTTGAGATTGTCTCTTAGACCCTAGTTGTGTTGTACTCTGATTCATGTTTGCTCAAAGAGCCAATGAGGCAGAACCTGAAATGTCACGGCTCTTTCGTTTAATATCAAACTCCTTTTGCATAGAAAGATCAGAATGCATAATGTGCTACTACATCACAGGAATCAACTTCATGAGTGCTGTGCTAGTCTCGGGGAGTCTTGCATGCAAACTTGTAGAAAACAAACAGTAGAGAAGTACACTCTGAAAAGAGCACATACTGTAGACAGTGCATGCAGCAGAATGTTGCACCTATTGTCATCCAAAATAGACCTTCACATTTTGATTTTGTAAACATATAGTTACTTTCAGAGCAGTCAAGGTGCCAATATACAGTAAAATACCGTTTTTTTAAAGACTAAATGCTGCTCATGCCAAAAACTTGTGCTATAAGGAATTATCTGATATATCATTAGTATCAAAGCTAGAAATAGAAATGCTCTTATTAGAATGAATTGCATAAATGTCAGTAAAGTTAATCATCCTTATGAGGCACAGATTCAAGCCCTTGTGCTAATAGTTTAAATACGACTGGTAGCAGTATTAATTTCTAGAAGAGAGGTCTGTATTTGTAGAAAGACCCGATTCAAAGCTACTAATGTAAGTTATAAATCACAGTTTGAGGAAACCTAGCAGTGGGGAGTTTGACATGTTCAAAGGTGAGCATGCAAGATCATAACATAGCCCTTTGTGAAACTTAAAAAGGGTTTCAATGATAAAAAGGGGAGAAAGAACGAGAATCAATGACAAAAAGCTAATAATACTCTTAAAAAAAAAGAATGAGAAAAGAAGTGAGAACCGAGCTTAATAAGAGGAAAATAAAAATAAATGTTAAGTTTCCCAGATACATTTCAGACATCCCCACAGTTAACTCTAGTGCTGCTGACACTTCCTCATCAGAAATCAATGGATACTGACCGCTGTACTGCCTTTTCATGGCGTGAAAGCCGGTGGCTGGTGGTGGGAACTTCGTCCAGGTCGTCATCCAGGTCACATCCAGTGTCTGCCGCATCTTGTGAGTAGCTGTGCTTCATGACCAAGATGCTCCTGCGGTTTCCTGTGGTCGGTAGCAAAGGCCGCACCGACATGGGCGGCTGCGGGAGGTCCGTGAGGAGGGTGGCCGCTGCGTTGTCTCGAGCGCTCAAGTTCCCACGGCTTCCTCGTCCGCTGAGCGATAGCTGGATAGGTGGGCCGAGCCGGGGTTGGAGGAGGAGCCGCAGTGGTGATCGTGGACACAGCGGGAGGAGGCACGGCGGAGGGCGTGATAGTTTTCAAAGTCTTCCGCCAGGTCAACTAAGTCTGCTGAGGTGGCTGCAGCCGCTGTCGCACTCCGTAAAGTACACAGCTCATAGTGAGGCGGCTCAAAGACCTCCTGGAACATAGTGGGGTCAAAGTCCTCACGTCGCAGGATGTACTTTTTTCGCGGCTGCTTGATCTGGACGATGACAGAGACGATGAGGAGTATGAGGACGATGCAACAAGTGACACCAATTATGGTCCCGTTGGTGTTGTTCAGGTTGTCCAGGATGTTTGCTTTCCTCTTCTCTGTAAAGCGACAAAAAGCAGCACATTAGACAGGGAAAGTTTATGAGAAGACTAAATATATCACCAAGAAAGATGTCCTGCAAAACATGTTAGGATACCTATTACAGTGAGAAGACAGAAAACACTTAGATTTTGACAACCTTGCCAAACTGATTGAATTTTCATTAATTGTGCTGCCCTAACAGTTTGTAACATGTAACCAGTTTTGGTGTCCAGTAAGGTAATCGAGGCCAATGCAACAAACTGCTCCCCATTTGTCTGTAAGAGCATACTTTATTTTGAAAGGATCTAGAACTCTCCATACTCCTTCGGAATAAATAGGGTTAAATGAACCAGTGAAAAACTGAATTCTAAATGACTTTACTGAAACATGACTTGGATCGTGGAAAATGAGGTTGAATGAGGTCAATAACACACTTGTAATTAGCTCAATAGATTCCTCCAATGATAACAAATGTAGATCTTTGAGATTGTTACTGTGAAGGTTGCATTAAACAGATCATCTACCTGCTGTGATGTTGGCTGCAAATGTTTGCATGTCTGGCTAACTAGCTTGCTACCCTCGCTTTTTACCAAACCCAGCACTACTCAGCTAAAGATAAACACATTCACTGTGCTGTATTTCCATTCTGTGTTAACAACTCCAGGTTACAAGGCTACCATTTCAAGGCATAGGCTAACACTGAAGTTCTTTGTTGCTGTATTGGACATTGGGAAGTGGTCCAGGATGTTAAGCTAAACACGGTATCCAAGAGAGCTCTACATTTTCCAGATGCAGCAAATGAAGCAAAGGGCAGGACCGGATTCCAACCCACGGCGGCTGTGACAATAACTACAGCCTCTGTACATGGGGTGAGTGTCACAACCGCTAGGCTATCCAGCGCTGCGGAAAATACTGTTTTAAACTATTACAAACTAGGCATCAGAAACTAAGTCTTGTTTTTTTTATTTCAGCTTTCAGGTTAACGTGATAGCTCAATTTGCTATCTTGCTGATTAAATCAGTTGTTGGTCACCAGGCTGAAATAAAAAGGCTTCTTTTGTCTACCTAAAATCATAAGGCCTGTGCATTTTCAAGAGATAATGTCTCATCTCTAACTGCAACTGTGCAATACTAGAATGCAAAGCTTGACAGATAAGGGGGTTGGGCCTAGCAAAACAACATTAGATTTTCAAAGATAGAAATCTTTTGATAATTGGACCTCATCATGTACAAAAGGAAGGTCAGGACTTGCATGAGCAATCAGAAACATGGACAAAAGAGTCCTATTCGGTCACAGCTGCAGTATATTTATCAAAAGGGAAACTACCATGGAAGCATAGCCTAACAGTGTGTAGAGAGCGACGCTGTGGGGAGACCTGTGACATTTAAATGCTGGATGAACATGTAGCACAACACATGTCGCTCCAATGACTACCAATGGGTTACATTCTGAAGTGTAAAAGAGAAAGGGATAAAGCATGACATTCACCACTAATGAGGACAAATGTGGGCACTGCGGTGGTCCTATGCATTACTAGAGCGCAGACAAGGTGAAAGATGGAGTAACAGGCTGAGAAACATGGCCGCTTCTTGCTGGGCTCTGCACACTTTCAATCTTAGACTGAGGCTTGGAAAGGTACCTTAGTCTGAGTAAAAAAATCAGTCATGCAGGATTTATTACTTGATATAAATTGTCATTGGCTCTGGTTATGAGTTTCAGTACTGCATGCTAAACATGCATTTACGTGTGCAGCTTTGCTATCCAAGTTTAAAGCAAAGAAAGGTAATCAAGAGAAATTGCACCAGGTTAAAGGGTATATGGATGAAGGAAAAACAAAGAGAACATATCTTAACTCTTAGCAAAGCACAAACTCTTAGCAAACAGTTTAATGAGCATCAAAACCACATTTTATTTATTGCTGTGGGAGTTTCAATGCTGGAGGGCAAAGGGGAGCTACAGTATATATCTCATCTTCTTGTAAGCAGTGATGGGTTATAAACAGTCAAGGAAAAGAAGACTCATTATTAAGCAGCATAATGCAAAGAAAAACTGACTGAACATTAGAGTTCACACATCTTTACTTACTATTATTGGAATGGCATCTGATATAAAGATGCTAGAACAAGGGGAATTCCACTAAAGGTTTAGATAAAGAACATAGGTACCAAATATAAAATCTCTAAAATAAAATAAGCAACTCATAAAATAAATTCAGTTTACATCAACTTGCCTTTTCAAACTACTAACACACAATTGGAGCCACTGAGACTTTAGGTTTTTTTCACTACGTTGCATGACTCATGTACATTCAAAGTTAAAAAATATATTTTAGAGTCATAGTGTAAGCAGAGTTTGGAGCACAAAACTACATATCTGCTTTGAGAGTGTGCTATAAATGTAGCTAAATTCTGATTGCTGCACAGACAAATATGACACCACATTTCAAACTAATCCCCAACTCATGAAATGAGAAAGAACAGCAGGACATTTGAAAATCTCTGTACAAAATATTATAACAGTTCTAAAATTGGCAGAAGCAGTGTGTTCCCAATGATTTTATAATAACACAAATTGTAGACTAAGTTGCCAGCATGTTCAGATAAAAAAAAAAGATGCTGGAAAGGGTCCAATAAAACATTTTTTTAGTCAATGACATGCTTTTTTTAAACTAGAAAAAAATAATGCGTAATAATACAGTGAAGCAAAACGGCATAATGATATCATGGACTTACTAAAAAACCTCGAGCACCATAATTATCAGAAACAGTGTTGACAGTTGTAGGAGGCAATTAGACTAAAAGAAAATACAGTGATTCATTTCCCCCTGCCCGTCGCTCTCCATGGTGCTGAAATATGAAACTATAGCCTGTCATAGTATCTCTCTTCACAATGCCAAAACCTTTCAGTGTAAGTGTCACATCTCACCTTTACATTGATTCTCATCCCAGGGGTAGACACAATTCTGCATGCCATTACACACCAGCGTGTTGTTTATGCACATGTTACTGTGACAGAAGAAGGCATCTGCATCGCATGGAGCTGTTATAGGAAAGAGAAAATGAAAGTTATGGTCATGGCATTAAGGGATTGTTCTTATCAGACTAAAGAGATAACAGAATTCTACAGTAGCGCTATCTCATCTCCACAGTTAAGTACAACGTTTTATTGCATTTCCCACCATTTAATACAGCAAACGTGTTGGACATTTGGATATGCTGCAGCACTCATCAGTATTTGAAGTAGACCTGAGCAGAAGTTCCACTGTGCCACATTTTTCAGGAAATACATTTGGATGAGCATTACTCAAATTGGACCTGTTCCCCCCCTGAACCCATCTGTTCTTCATGAATTTTCATACTTTTCCTCCTCTTCAAACATTTAGACAGGCAACTTGTGGATATGAATGAATTTCTTGTGTGTGTGTGTCGTGTGTGCTATGACCTTTCAGAATCATCTTCACACATACACAGAACACGTTCTTCTCTTTTATGCAGGATGTTGTTTATTTGTCCTCACCTCTCTGGTAAACACAAATCTAAACCAGACCATGAACATGAGCATGTCTTCCAACACAGCATAATGACACCCGCTCACCTACTGCAGCCTGTCTGAGACAGGAACTCTGCTACCTCCACCTTTCTATGACATCGTGTAAACCTGCCAGCCAGCAAGACAATAAAACCAGTCCTGTAAGCTTCACATCACACATACAGTATATATATGGCAAAGGAACTATTTCATTCAAGCCAAGGTGCCCTTTCTCTCAACAACCAATCAAACTAATGCATAAGCCAGCTGATTGGCCAATTTATTGGCCATCTAATGTCAATCAAAGTGAAGACACACTACTATGTCATCCTGACCACAGTGAAAATGTCTTACCCTTTGACAACAGTGTAAAATGTTATTTCACTGCCATCATTAAAACATTTTTTATGGGATTCATAAAGCAGTAGTGATCTTTTTGATACCCATGGTTGGCCTAAAGCACGACATAGAGGATAATAGAAGAACGATCGCAATATTTGATTTTGATGATTTTGGCATTAATGTGATGTGATGTATTTTCACATGACTGGTCAAAAATGTCTTTCCCAACTTTTTCAATTAATCTTTAATGTTTCAAAACTACATTTCAGAAACTGTATTGATATATCAAGATAGATGCATTGTTGCCATGTAAAATTCCAAATGTATATAAAGGGAACATTGTTAGCCGTATTGTCTACCCCAAGCAGAAATATTGCCACACAATGTCAGATGAAGAGTAGTACAATAAGTACTAGATCTTTTACTTTACTCAATTTGACTTCCCCAAATATGTAGCTGAAAATTATTCTAGTATATTGCTATATCATAATCATTCCTGCATTAAATTGAAGTATCATTACTTGAGGCAGTTGAGGGCAGGGTTATTTAGTCTCTATCAGGCTTGCCTAACCCTAAATTGGGTTGCATGGAATTCAAATGGTTTCCCCTGAAATTTATAATAATTAATAAAAATAAAATATATTGGATCATGCCTTAAATAAGCTACACAATGTTATCCAGGGCTACAGTGGGCCATAGCCCATTTTTAAAAGCTAACTAAATTAAAATATTTCAGTCTATCTCTCATCCATGTATCATGCGTCCAGCATTCATTTCCAGCATGGTTCACACAAGCTCACCAGGCTGAACACATCATACACTGAAAAAAGTAAAATTTTTCCTTTGTGCACAAATCTCATCCGGCATTTCTGCCACGGCCACAATAATGTACCTGAAAGAGCCATAATGAAGTGTAAAATGAATGTTTACTTGCAAAACAATAGAAAAAAAACGATGAAAACATGATTGACATTTTAATCGTTTTAACAAAAAGCTGTAAGTGTTTTGGATGTCTTGTGTCCCCAGAGTTTTGTGAAGACAAAGTGGGGTCACAAGACAAAAAAGGTTGGGAACCACGGGTCTATTATTGCTGGTCAGTGGATCCCATTGAACATTATCATGTTTCACTAGCTTTTCATGACTTCTGTATTTAAAGCATTATAGCCTTAGTAATGATACCTTACATATATATAAAAAAAAGTTGAATAAAAAGTAACATTTTAACCTCTGAATTGAAGTGTTGTAGATTGGTGAAGAAGCTTAAATAGAAGTTATCAAATGAACTACATGTACCTGTCAGCATGCACACAGTCCTATGAAAAAGTATATGTGAAGGGCAAAAGTACTTTGCAAGCACTTTCAATTCCTGAATGTTCCACAACTTATTTATTTTCCAGCGACATGCGAGCATAATGGATGACTCTATTTGGCTTCTCTCTCTCTCTCTCTCTGTAAGTCTCTCACTCTCTCTCTTTATCTTACACTGGCACTGGGTACTAAAACAGCTTGCCAGTGGTATGGCAGAGCTGGGGACTATGTGACAGTGTTACCACTGTGATGTATGGCTGTTTTCATCCCAGCACTTATCCCTAGTGAATAATAACACACCAAATTAGAGTGACTTATCTCTTTCTTTCACTTTGCACCATGCTGTTTGGGCCTTTGCCAGCTTTTCATGACTCATAGTGGCTCTGTGTGTGTGTTCTGCTGCTCTTCCTCCCATTTTCAACCCCTTCCTCCATTTCTCTCTTCATCATTTGTTTCTTTTATACATTGTATGCCAAAGCTGTGACAGTTATTTCCCAGCAGAGGGAGCCCACCCCTTCTCATTTTGCTTCTGAGTGCTCCACACACCACAGGGCAAGACCAGGCGTTATGAAAAGTGTGAGCTGCACTAATCTCCTGCAAAATTAATTCCAAGACATTCTCTAATAAAAGTGCCCTTTTGCCCACACGGAGACGTTCACAGTCTCTGTTGGAAGCATAAATTAAGTCCTAAATGAGAGGCTGATGAGAATAGTCTGGCTGCCTCTGCAGAGGGGGATTCTGCAGTCAAGAGCTGGAAGCAACACATTGTTCTAATGAATTTTTTAAATCAAATAACCATTATAGATCTGGGTTTTGTTTTCTTTTGTTCTGTACGACTGTAGCTGGGCCCTTTTAAGGATATTGGGATGATTGCATTTACCCATATTTTCTCCAATAATGTCAAACTAGTTTTTCATTCAGCATCACACCTCCAGTTGTTTTAGCCATCACTACCTGTAATTTGGTAAATCACTGTAAGTTTTACACTTTAGATTATTGATTGAAGTCATATTGTTTAATTACTCTTTGTTAATATATAAGACACCTTTAATGCTTTGTTGTGCTTTTTTGCCATTGTTGTAAAAAGTCATTGGCAACCAATAAGAAGGATTTAAATGACTGCATCTCTTGTTATGTAGGAGTCATTCACACATCCCCTTGTTACCTGCAGTCTGTTCAAAATGCCCCAAACGTGTTACTGAAAGACAAACTATACACACCGGGTACAGGCCTTCCATTCACTTCATTCAGTAGTTATCAGTGAAGAACATTGTAGATATATTTGAATGTAATGTCAAGTGTTTTAAAAGCAAGCCAAAAACATTTTTTGAATAATTTAATTGCATTTAAAATTCTTAAAAACAAATTGGTTGTCATATGATGTTTTTGATATACTTATCGATAATATAATTTGACTTGACTTGACTTGGGCATTAAATTCTACTTTCAGCTCAGTCAAAATCCTGCTGACCTCAAGATCTGTTCATATGAAATGTAATACTGTAGTGTTCCTACAGATTACTTTGTTGATTTTGGAAATGCATTGAAAAACTGTTTCAACAGGTTATGTTGTTTATATGTGCTCCTGTTGTTACAATGTTTGTTACCACCCGACCAACTGTCCGTCAGTCTGTATGTTCCATCCGACAGTTCAATAATCTATCCATCCGTCATCCATCCATCAATCAATCCATCCATCCATCCATCCATCCATTCACCCACCCAATCATCCATCCATCACTTCATTGATGTATCGATGTGTTGATCCATCCATCCATCCATGAACCAAACCAATCATCTATCCATCCATCCTTCCATTCATCCATCCATCCATCCATCCAACCATCCATCCATCCCTCCATCCATCAGTTCATCCATCCATCGATTTATTGAAGTGTTGATCAATCCATCCATCAATACACCCATCATTAATTTCATCCACTCGTGCTGCTTCTGTCCTCACTCTACAGTCAGTGTATTAAAATGCTTCACGATTACATCCCTACATAATTCTCTTTAATCCCAAAGTAACCAAAGGCAACAAGTGTGTAAAGATGATTTGAATCTAAGATTTGAGTTAAGACCTAGCAAAGATCCATATTTAACATCACTTAGCATACTCTGTTGTTCTAAAATGCATACAGCACAAAAGCTTTGCTAGAAACGAGAGGTGATGTGTGTGGCAAAGACGGAGCATATTTCCATCTGCAACCCCAGAGACGAGTATCTGTTGATGAGCCGTAACAATGCTGACAGCTGAGATGTCACACAACTACATTTATCACCTAAGACATAATTGCTTCTTGGGTAAAGACAGGCATCACTTGTTTATGCTTCTAATTGTTAACCTTACACAGAAAATGTGTGTGTGTGTGTGTGTGTGTGTGTGTGTGTGTGTGTGTGTGTGTGTGTGTGTGTGTGTGTGTGTGTGTGTGGGCCTGGAAACAGAGGAGAGTCAGTAGTATTAGCAGGTGTAAACACAGCACGGACTATAAAGCTGAATGTTTGCGTTTGGGAACATTACTCTTCCCATTGGAGCACCTCGCAGGGAGTCAGCAGCTGTGAATGGTTTTCTAAAAGCTGCTGATCCCAGTGGGCACCAGCAGCTGTGAACAAACATATAAACCCTCAGGATCTACTGTAACAGGGGAGTGCTTCTATGTAAAAAATGGTCTAAAAGCTGCAAATCCAGAGAGTACACCTGTAAGAGAACACACACACTCACTTTTAGTAGCTGCACACTCTCTTAAGGTGAAGAGTAGGATTATGAGCTGTATTTCTGCTGTGAACATTGTGGTCTTGATTGGATGACTCATATCTGTTTCCAATATTATTTTTTTTAGCTATAGTAAACAACAGGAGTAAATGTACACATAAAATTCAATAGATTTGCCATGTCAAATATTTGGAAGCTTTGTGTTTACATAATGGAGGCAACACTGACCTGGGAAGTACTTAAAAAACAAAACCAGTAAAACCATATATAATCTTCTAAATATGCACATGGACATACATAGCATTACATATTTTCCACAAGTCATTAAAACCTTAGAATTGTGCAAAAGAAATGATCTTGAAACAGCTTTAAAAAAGAGAAAATGTATCACTTTTCAAATGATCCGTAAACTATTTGAGGTGAGTGTCTAAAACTTGTCTACTACTTGTCTCACTGCTCGAGCTCTCTGTTACACCTGTACCACCCCCCCCCGCTGACAGGGCTGCTGCAGTGCTGCTGAGCTGTGGTGGATGGAGCAGCTCTAAAGGCTGAGGTCTGGCTGGAGATTGCCTGAGTGACTTGGGTAGAGGCGTTTCCCCGGCAACAGCACATCCTGGCTTAGCTTGGTGAAAATGCCATACAAAAGGGACACTGACTTCAACAACACAAACAACTCTGCTGCCGTTTTTGTCGCCTATTCTGCAGAAACGACCCAATCCTTATCACCTTATCACAACAACATACAAGCAAAAGAGACACTGTGGACATGGGTATGTACGCTAATGATTTTCACTGGAGTGCTTAGCATTCTTGACGTGTGTAGACCTAGTTTGTGAAATGTAATACATTCAGCCAACCCTGCTCATTTAGGAAAAGTGAATTTTACTCACTTTTGCATAACAACATCTTAATAAAAGATGCGTTATGTGTTCTTCTTACAAACCCTTCTCAAAATCTGAAAATGTCACAGTTGGAAATATATTTTTTTGGCACATTTTGGTTCAAACTTTGCATCTCATTAACTGAGAGTTTGCACTCCCAAGTTCCAAATCTGCAGATGTAACGTTCACTAATGCAATCTGTGTGTGTGTGTGTGTGTGTGTGTGTGTGTGTGTGTGTGTGTGTGTGTCATTTCTGTGTCATTTTAAGGCCCTGACATACACCGACACTGTTTACTCGCAAGATTTTAACCCTCCTCATTCAGCTCATTAGAACAAAGACAGGCACTCTCCATCCCATGTCAAATTACAAGCTCCATGAATGAGGAGCTTTTGAATGAGAAAGAGGAAGATGTGAGTCTGTGTGAATTTAAAATCTCTCCCAGGTGTTTTGCTCAGAGAAAACGAGGAGATACTGACCCACTTGATCTTCCTCTGTCTGAGGCCATTTCTCTGTTCTTTGAGCTATCTAGTACTGTTGCAGTGCTGAGCTAAAGTCTACCAATATGTTCATAACTCATAGGCAGTATTAGGATGTATTGGAAATCATTTCTTAGGTTTTCTGCTCGCTGCGATTTAAATGGTCATAAAACTAAATAGCAACCTCTGACAACCCCTTCCCCATGGCGTCGGATAAAACTCACCATAAACATGGTTACTTCCATTAATAGCTACCACTAAAGACCTGACCTGTTTTATTTTTGTGTCAATGTTGCTGTTTGATTCATAAGCTAATCGGTCCCTCCCCCCCCCCCCCTGAAAGCGGGTCAGTCTGGCGTCTATGATCAGCATTGGTGTGTCTGAGTGTAACAGTGTGTCGTCTTACGTTCTTGGTAGGTTGTGAAAAGGATCCTGAAGCGGCTCTTGCGACTGGCCTCGTCCGCCCACATGCGGATGACGCCCAGCGTGGAAACCAGCATGAGGTCGTTGGCCACCGTGGAGCAGTACTTGCTCTTCAGGTCTTCCACCGAACTGAGACATGACAGAATGAGATAAGAAAACCAGAGTCTATTATAACATTATTGCTTATGACATTAATTAATGGGAATTACAACGATCTACTTTGTTTAAGAGATGCCAATAGCCATGGTGTAGCCATTGTTGCTTTATCGTTTTGATCACAACTTCAAATTCTGTTTCTCATAAGATAACAGATTTGCTTTTTGAAGTGTCTTTAGGCCTGATGTAGTCGTGAAGATTCCATAATACATCCTTATCTCAAATCAATCAAACATTCTTGTCTATGATCATGATTCAAATATCCTTTTATCTTGTGTTAAAATGCATTCTGTCTCGCTGTTCTTTAAAATCACCTCTTTCCCAGCTGTCTGTCTGAAATGAAATTACTGCTAGCAGATAATGTAGCATTATAGCATAAACACTTGGAACAAAAGCAAAAGGATAGCCTGCTTCTTCCTCAATAACGAATCCATCTGCCAGCTTCTTGGAAGCTCTCTCAGAAACATGTTATGTTTAGTTTGATAAATCAGAACTTAGGTATAAAATAATGCAAGTTTTGAATTGACAATGACTTTAAGAGGTGGACTATTTCATAGCCAGCTGCAGTGACCTCATGGAGTCACCAAAGGTTAAGAAACAATGTCGTTTTGAAAACAAAATATTCCATGCTACCTTCTTTGTGCAAGGCTAAGTTGGCTGTGGCTATGTATTTCCTGTACAGACTCAAAATGAGAACAAAATCAGGACATTTTGGACTATTCTTTCGACTGTAACTTACTAAACCTTTTTGTAATTTGTCTTGAATAGAAAAGTACTCGCTGTGATGCGTGTGCAGTACATAGATTCTGTTAAATAGAACTGATGAGTTAATCAATCTTTTCCTTTAGTGTGCAGGATGTTACCCAGTAGGTCAGGTAAGGCTAATGATTCATTGACAGTGAGACTGTTCTAGTCAAAACCATTCATTTCTCTCCTTGACAAAAGACGTCAATAATTCCTCACAAGGTAAATTATATGGTCAAGTCATGAGGGTCCTAAAATGATTGTGAAGGGGTCAAAAATATTAAAACAGTGGTACCTGCCACCGTCGTACACCGCCACAAAGTTGCGCTTGCATTCATTGGAATTGGCCATCTCATAGTCAAGAAAACGCAGGTAGATCTGTCCATGCAATAAGGAAGGAGCACATAAAAGAGAAAAAGCAGAGATCAAACGATGCAATCTTTCGACGTGAACATGACAGTGGAAACAAAACAAAGGAAAAGAGGAGTGACAGAGAAGATTTCAGCTCCTTCCAATCATTTCCTGTGCAATTTACTCATTATCCAACTGTCTGATACAGCAGCCCTGTAATGAAATAAGACTGACAGGCCGCAGCTTGTACAAAGTCATTACATATGCATATCAAATGAGGACTCAGAGATGGACAGAGTCTATTAGCTTTGGACTCATTACCCGTATCTGTTGAGATAAAGCATTACACAAAACCTGCAACCTTGTTTAAACTTTAGGGAGACCTTGGATATTTCACAAGCTTTGGAGGTTCAAAAAAGAAAATGTCCCCCACTTATAGCTCTTTTTATTAAAGAGACCTTTGAATTTCACTAAACTTTTTGATCAACGTACTAAAAGGATACAAAAGTATTTAAGGAAGACTTTCAAACCTTGACAGATGTGAACAGAATATGGAATACTTTATTACCCAAACAACCCCCTGTTGAGTGAAATATCCACCTTGCTTTCAACCTTGATAACAGCTATTCCCGGTGAAATTAACACTTCCTGACTGCCTCTGTATCATCGCCCGTCACTCATTCATCAGACGTGGATCGCCCAATCACAGCTCATGTTCTGGTTGGCCGAACACAGCCCTCGCCATCATTACGGTTAATGAGTGGACCGATCCAGCATTTTGACGGGGGGGGAGAATGTGGCGCTTTTAAATGACGAAAGCTGCAGATGGAGCCGGATAATGGACCTCGCAATGTCAACTCGGCTTCAACAGCATGACAGGTAAAATGGAAAACAAGCTATCCAATTCCCCTAAGGTCTTGAATTTGTGTCATTGATTTCCTATTTAATAAGACGATGTCATTTTAGACACTATTGTGGCCATATTTGCTTCGCTACAAGAATCGGAGGAAGTTATTTGGGAAGTTAAATTACACAAATCTGCTGAACATGTTTATGTCGGACATGAAAAGCTTGCAACCCATTACACTGAGAACAAGGAAATAGCCTAGTAGTTACATAGGTGGAAAAGTTTTTTTTTTTAAAATGGCTTATTCCACGCAGCATGGTGTCAAAGAAGTCTGCTTTTATGTGTAATAGTCAAAGTTAATGTTGTGGCTAAAGCTATGCTTCATCTCTATGTGTTGCACAGCAGTCCAGTGACATAAAACAAATTGTCCCAGTCATTCTCCACATCCATATTGGACACACAGTCTGCCTGCCTAGAATACAGTTAATGCATCCATGTGTAACCAACTGAAGGTAATTCAATCAGGGGGAGCTAATTAAAATTAGAAAACATTGCTATATGGTGTACATTCAACTTTTTAAACAGACTCCATCTATAGGTAATTGCTGATTAAAGATATCAAGCTGCAATCATTAAAGATCATTAAAGAGCACAAACTCTGATAATTAATTGTGGATGGAGTCACAGGGCAGGTGGTGGTGTAAGGAGGCTTGTGGCCAAAATTAGTTTCGTGTCCACAGATTGGCTAATTGCCATTGAACATTTTGTACAAATCATGGCCCAGAGAGGATGGATTCTACTAACCCAGCTGTTTTGGAAAATAAAAAAAAAGTTTGTATCTGTCCTGTTTAATATATAGAGATATTTAATATATTGCTGTAAGGATTGGCTGAACATTTTGTACAGCTATTCATTGTTCTGAGACAATAAATCCTATGGCTTTTGGCAAGGGATGGACAGTGACAGCAATTACCAGCTGAGGCAAACCTTCCCAAATCCATTGATCACATGTAACCGCTTAGTGTAACGTTTGTTTTCTGTTGAATATTTACAATGTTCACTGTTTAACCCTGTAGCATGTGTTTAAGTCTTTTGACAGAAAGAGACCCAGATTTCATTAACTCAGTTTACTAGTTTGAAGGTCACTGGGGATTTTCACTTTGCTCCTCAGGGAGAGTTCGGCCTGGACTTTGGTAATCTTCAGGCTTTATGGTGTTGATGTTTTGTGGTTTTGGTTAAAAAGATGATATATGTTTGAGGAATCGTAATTACATTTTGTTAGAGACCCCCTCCAGGGGGAATTAGAATCACTTTAGAGATCCCCTCACTTCTCATCAACAACATCACATCTGCTCAAAAAATTTGCATTAGTTTTATTCTATTCTATTAGAATTAGTGCTAAACACGGCTGGCTTCTGATGCCTGGAAGGCTGTTGACTATTACGTTTGTCATTTTCTGACATATATTACAGCTGCACTCTATGCAATCCTTTGAGCTAAACTTAAGATCTAAGTCAGCTTTTTGCAATGAATATGAATATCAATTTCAAGCTGCTGTTGGTTCAGACCCTTAATGCAGTTTCAAGATAACATACATCTTAATAATATGTCTCAGAGTAGAATAATGAAGACTCTTATGTCTATTCCTATATCCTTTCTGTATGCCTCATTTCACAGCTACACCTTGTGGGTTTGTCCTCAGCATGGTAGGAATAAGGGGGAAGAATAAGTGTTGTGGTCGCCTAAGAAAGAGAGCTTATCAATTTTGATGTACGACTACAAAGTAAACCAATGCAGCACTTGTACTATATCTGCCAAGAAGAAGCAGAGAACACTCGATTGATTCATTGTTCCCTTTACCTAGAAGATAAGTACTGCAGATGTACTACTGTATCTGAAAATCCAACTACTGTTGGAGCGTAGCCAGTGTGAACTGTAAAACCTGAAACACTATTTCAGCACAGACTGAAATGTGGCTTTTGGACGTGGCTGCCATTGTAAGTCCTGACAGTTACAGGCTGTGCTTGAGAGTACCAAGAAATAGAAGTGTTTCAATTATGGCTACTTGGCTGAGATGAGGCAACAGAGGAATAAAAGAAAGAGAAATCACAAAATGCTGCTAAATACACCCTTTTATGCTGTAAAAGATGACAGCCTTGCGGTTCTGGAGCGTTTTTATTGCATGAAGTGCTGCAAATGGTATCACAGACTGCAGTCATTTCAATTTTTGCTCATGCGAATCCTGCTGAGTTTGCACAATGAAAAATACAACTACAATATGTCATGTCTTTGATATTGTTTTGCAACCACTAAACCAGATTTGACAAAGCGGCAGCCAAAAGCCTTGTTTTGTGTAGAAGAAAACCTGCACAGACCAAGAGATACCAGGAAAAAAAAGCCTTTTGTGGTGTTTTTCTTTAGCTTTCATTGGCTAAATCCTCTAACTGACCAATGATGAAGAAAGATCTGAGTGCAGACGACATCGCGAAAGCCAAATTATGGCAATGGATCAGATAGATACAATCACCAATTTGTTATATGAGAGATTGGCTCCAGCAGAAAAATAGCGCTGCCTCCTCATTGATTCTGCAGCGCCTAATAATGACGCAGAATCCATCACTGACTCGGGGGGGAGAAATATGTTCTCACTGTCGCTAAAGAGGCGCCTGTAACAGCGTTCGTGCTGTTCATTACAGTCAGAATGAATGTCCATATTTTGGCCATTATCTTCATGAAAAGACACAGAAGGTGTCAGACAGTACAGGCAGGTGTGGTGGAAGAATCCAGACAGTGTGAGACAAACAGGACACAAATGATGTCTGCGGAGAAAATGAGGTAACGGCAAGATTCCTCCACAGTAACAGCTGTCAGATAAATTGGAAATATTGGAAAAACATACTGAAGAAATGACATTTCATTTTGTCAAATTTAGAATCCAATTGTTGTCATTGAAACATCCTAATCTGTCCTAAATACATCTATATGTGTAGTACTGTGTTGGCATTGGCTTCCTGTTGTTTTTTAGTGACGCAGTCTACAAATATTAGCTTCATAATTCTTTTTCTAAGGTTAGTTTCTGACAAATCGAATTATATAAAAAAATAGAACGTGACAAAGTGATGAAAAGCAATCACATTATAGTACCAAATTGCTGCAATGCTGTAACTTTTGGCAACAACACTTGGTTCCTTATTGCTTACTTGCAGGTATATCTTTCACTCTTCCTCACCTTTCCTGCCATCCCTCTCTCTCACCCTCTGCCCCGTTCCGAAAATCCATCCCAAAATATTAAGATCGCAGATAAAATACATTATTAAGTACATCTCTTATCCCTTCCTTTCCCATTTCCCTCCTCCTCTGCCCCCCCCCCCCCTCCTCTCTCCTCTCTCCTTCTCTCTGGTGCAGTCTAATTAGAGCCTCCGGTATAGGATGTCATTATCTCTCTGCTGTTTCTGGCACACTGGGTACTAGTGCAGGACTGTAACAGCATGGGGAAAGAAAGCCCCCCCGCATGCACATACACATCGATTGGAGGGGGTTGTTTGCATCCTCTGCAGTAATGTGCGAGAATGCATGTGAGTAAAAAAAAAAAAAGAGGAAGAGAGAAACGGAAAGATGGAGTAAGTTATATTTTATGTGTAGCTGAGTGTGAAAGCTTTAGGACCGAAGACAGATCTGTGCTAAAAATTTGATTTGCTGCCTTGTCTATCAGTGTCAGCCTTTGGCCCCATGAGTTGTCTTGTGAGGCACTCCTGCAGGGCGAAATATGACACTGATTTAGACCAAGAAAAATAGATCATACTGCCAGGCTGTGTCACTCTGTCGCTCTTTCAAGCACACACACACAGCCTCACACATGGTGGCATGCATGGAACAAGCAGTAAATTGACTTATGGTCCTCTTTGGTGTGCCTGCTGACTCATACACTGCACTTAGAAGCCTTGAGGAATCGATCCTGCTTTTTTTTTTTTTTAATCGACCAAAAACGGCCAGGGTACCTGCTAATACCTGTTTCAATGCTACACTTGTATAGCTCCACATGAGTACTGATGATGGAGAGAATGGCTCCAGGTGTATGACGCAGTCTAATAGTTCCTGTGGCCTTGGGGCTTAAAAGAAACTGAATCTGAAGGACGTTTCTGAAGGGAAATAAGGGCGTGAGCAGGAAATCTGCGGGCGGAAGAAGATAAGAGCTAAGAAGCTGCTGCTTCCATGAATCACAGTCGCACCAAGATTATCAGCAGTTAATATCATAAGCCAGTGTGTGTGTGTGTGTGTGTACAGTACAAAACAAGAGCCTGCAGCATAGTGTGAAAAACAGTGTGAAAACTACTATGAACCAGATTTGATCAGGGGCGGAAAAAAAGCTTAATAGCTTCCCTTACCTCGACTTCTGTGTGACTTTAAAGGATGGTAGCCAAAGCAATGATGGATAACATCTTGTAACACGTTGAATTAGTGAGACTAATAGTGACACAGTTACGCTTACACTGCAGCTGCCTTGTCTCACACCTGGGAGAATGCAGACAGAAACTGCAGCAACAAAAACCTGTAGTGTTGTAATGATTTCATGTATTTACTTCTTTGTGCAAAACCTTTGGGTATTTGGGTTAATGGGAGCTTTGCTTATTTACCTATTTATATATTTTCCAAATGCGGAAAAGGTAAGATAAAGAGTATTAAAAATGCAAGCTGAAGCACGGGTGTGTCCACACATTTTTGATTCGGGTTGCCCAACTAACGCACTTGTTTTCCACTTAAATAGTACCAAAACATAAAAACATATATCCATGATGCCAACTCCTTTTAGAACAAGGACTAAGAAAGAAAATGAATTTCCAAAAGTCACTGAACAAAGTACCAGAAAACAAATGGGCTACATTGAATTCCCCAGAAAGATACTGGCAAGACTGTTGGAACACAGCCCAAGAAGTTGGTTTGACTTCAGTCACACCTCTGACTGAGCAGACAACAAATCATAGTTAGATTTATGGAGTTGCCCCTTGGTTAGCCAATCACATTTCAGGGGAGAAAGCCCCTGTTCTTAATTCATAAGAACTGTAATTGCAGGTATTTTACCTCACCATTTACATTTACAGTATTATACAGTATTATACTGTAAATGTGACTACTCCTCTAAAACCCCTACAGTGCAGTTTCTCTACTTGAATGAATTGTTATTATAACCATATATGTGCTGCCATTTTCTATTAAATCAAACCCAGCATGAGGAGCCAAACCTGTTTCATCAGCAGCTTTACTGCAGTTATGGGACTGGTATGTGTATGTGTGTATGAACGAGCAATATGGAGCCAAATGAGAAGTTATAGTATTTGAATAATGTGGCCTTTTCCTGCACTGCTGCACTCAGGAAACTTTTAATCCTGTAGCATTAATGCAGCACAGGTACCTCTGGCAGATAAGGAAACCAGTCTCGTGTGTGTTTAGCAAAAGTGTGGATGTGTGTGGATGTATGCAGTATTTGTATATGCATGCAGCGCAGCGTGGAGAACAGCGGCCGGGGGAAACAAACACAGGCCGAAGTGGACCTCGGGGTCAAGCTGCATGGCAACACCATTTCATCAGCACCCCCCCCCCCTCTCTCTCTCTCTGTCTGGCCGCTCTCTCTCTCTCCCTCTTTCTCTCCTTCTACCATCCCTCCATTCCTCCTGGCAACAGCTCGCTGATTAAAAAAAGGGTCTGACCCAAAATAAACCCGTCTGCGTGTCTGTCTGACCCCTCACCCCCCCTCCAAGAACACACACTCACGTTGGGAAAGTGCTGACAGCTGCAGACAAACCCACATGAAACATCAAAGCTTTCTGATGCAACCACTGATCTTAATGCATGAGTGAAGGAACTCTGAATGGAGACAGCAAATTAACAAGGAAAAAAACTCAAAAGCTCAATGAAATTTCCAAAGACACGCGCTATTTTCTTGCAGTATTTATGTTTCTTTTTGATTCTTGGTCTGACTTGCTAACTGCGTTAAGATTTCATGTGACATTTCAAAATTTGCCAGTAAATCTAACTGACAGCTACGTTAGTGCTGCTGGTGTCACTAACCTTGGAGCGCGGGGGAGCCCGGATGTACCACTTACAGTCGACGGCCTCTGTGGCGCCCGCCTTTCCGTCTCTGGTGATCTGATGGGACTCAACGATACCTTCTGGACCAACCATATCATACTGACAGGCTGAAACACATGGGAATGCATAAACACATGCACACACAATCACAGATATACAGTATGTGAACTCCACAAATACCACACAGGAACACACAACATACATGTTTTTTACAGCTAAAAGTCCAATTATATTCATGGAAAATTGAAGAAAAACTGGAGGAAAAACAGTACGAGGATGAAACTGTTGGGATGAAAAGAGAAAACTAAGAAAGATTGAAAACAAGTGAGACAAAAACATGAAGAGAGAAACGGAAGAAACAAAGGCAGAAAGAGAGAGAGCGAGTATACCTACAGGGTAGAGGCGGGGGGACTCCCAAGTCTGCAAAGTCCGGATCTGAGGAGAGAGCAGAAGAGAGGCGGGGGCATTCATTTTTAATACATGATTACAAAATCAGGATCCTCACAGAGACAAAAAACAACAAGGTGTAACAAAGCGCCGAGGGAAATCCTCCAGAGAAAGCGAGAAACTGTTGCTCTCATGCTTCAATTATTTTGGAACCATTAAATCATTGATTACTTTCTTTTCTTTTCAGTCACTGAAAAGAAGTTGGTTGGAATGTAATGCGCCACCAATGTAATCTTGTATAACGCAAACAACTTAAAGTCATAAAGTACTGAGCATGAGATATTTTTTTGGAAGCTTAGCTTATAAAACTCTATCCATTGCAATGACTATTGCTAAAGAACAGAAAATTAAGAGCCAAATGATCTACAATGAATGTTCTGCAAGACCATAACACCATAAGCAGAAACTTACTTCTTCCTTAGATATGGTAAATTAATGTCAACTCCCTATTGCTCGCTTGGCCCAACCTGTAATTTTACTTTAGGCAGGGGTTGAATCTTTACTAAAAGAAATAGGAGACCATCTGTTTACATTATCATTTCTGAAAAGCGTCCCGACGTAAGCAAAACTCTAGAAACAAACAAATAGACTGGCCATTTAATCTTTACAAGAACATTTAAAGGATCTAGGTCAAACTCTTGTGGAGTAGATGTTCTTCTGGGTTTCGTTCATTAGTTCACATGCTTGTCAGAAGAAGTTTCAGCTTCATTTTACAGGGAAATTGAGAGTTTTATGAGTTTAATTGTGTTCATTTTATGGGATTTGATACATTTTAGATTTAATGGGAACAGAAAAAGCAAAAATAAATTGCTTTTTGCCTACATTTTCTGAAAATCGTGTAGACCAGGGCTATTCAACTATATTGTTCAGGGCTAAGGACCCAGGGGCCAGACAAGCAAGCCCACCACAACAGTACACAGGCCTGTTTTTAAACATCAACAACACAAGCTTGTTATAGGCTGCGAGCACAGGTGTGATGTTCTATTAAATTGGAGCGCTGTGCTGTTTTTAAAACTTTACTGTGGCAACAATGACAGTCATTCACAAGTTTTCCCCCCTGTTTATTAGTTATTACTTTTTTAATTGTAAATAGAACTGATCAGTGGGCCAGTCTGATGTCATTCGCAGGCCCCTTGGCTGCTATTTGAACAGGCCTGGTGTAGACCATTTAAAGGTGTAAATATAATCCTGAATAAACCAAGAATAAAAAGTACTTAATTAAGCCAAACAAAGGCCAAACCTTTGTCAGCCAAATAAGGGAAAGTGTTGAAGTGTTCACAGTCAAAATGACAAGGTTTTAAAACGTTTCTCTGTATAATATTGCAATAAATTACATCAACAGGCCCGTCCATGGTGAGGTGTGTTACCTCGTCTTGCTAGTGAAACATCACAGTCTTGACTTTTATCCCTAAAGACTCAACATCACTCCTCAGACGACTTCACACAAGACAGAAATTAACATTTTCTACTGTCTTGTTTTTTTCACATCATCACCTCTGTGTGTGATGTTTATGTGCTTTTTCAACCAAACTCCAGCAGAATTTATGATTAACTATAGACTTAAATGACTTTGACATGTAGTTGATTTTAAATAAAATCATAGGATTTTACCAAGACAAAGGAAAAATGTATCATTGAGATCTCCTGTCACTTATGAATGACTTGTTTTTCATAGTCAGGACTCACTTTTGTTCTTGACAAAAGGGAAATTATAATGAAAGCTATTAAAGTAGTCATATGACTGCTATTCTTGGACTAATTTCTGTACTGAAGTTTCACTCTAATAGCACAGCATGTCACCTTGTCACCATGACATGACATATGGCATTGTGTTTGAAACGAAAAAGAAACCTCCACAGCTTTCAGTTGATTCAAATATTTCCACAGAAGATGTGCTTTCAGAGAGACGCTGTTAGTTGTGAGCTGTATTCATTTTAAGGACAGAGCCTGTGGAAAATAGGGAAACACAAAAAAGGATTCCCATTAAATCTGATTGTTCCTCGCCAGAATGAGACATGGCGACCGCTGGCTGAGCTCAGTTTAGAAAATGAGCCCTGATTGCACAGCAGGAATACCTTGCCTAAATGTCAGCGTTTTTGTCTGTATGTGTGCCCTAATTTTTCTGTCTAGACATGAGTCAGAGCTTCAGTGTTGGAGCACACTTGAAGAGCGAGTCCCATATATATATATATATATGGCAATGGTTCATGCCTGTGACAGAACACTACATGGAAAAAAATGAATGAAATCAAGTATTGGGGGAGGGAAGATGGGTTTGAAGATGAAACTGGCTGAATCAAATCTGGAATCAAAAGAGTTTTTTGGCCGGATTCAAGACATTTTCAAGAAGGGATCCAGAAGACCCGAGCCTCTACATATTGGTTAAAAAATGTATCCCATTAAAAGGCAAAAATCACTTTATCCTTGGTGCTTTCACTATACCAACAGAGACATAGTGAAGCAATCGTGTGAACACAAAAGACATTCAAAAGTGGTACTTCTACTTAAAAGCCTCTCCTGAAGCATTTACTTCAGTTCCCCTGTGATTTCTTCCAACTAATTTTTAAATGAGCGGAACTTGAATGGAGTATGCCATGCATTTAAAAAAACAAAAAAAAACAAGTGGTTTCTTTGGCCTTGGACAGCAAAAGGAAAGTGAGCAACTCTATTTTGTCTTTCTTGGAAGCAATGGCCTGCTTTACCATTCATACAAAACCGCCCACATGGCCACTCTCCATTTTAGAGAGCTGCTGAGTCGTGTACTTCAAAGCAGTAAGGGAATTTTTCTTTCAATAGCAAAACGCAGACATCTATTGGTTGGATTAGCTCGAATCGAACCTAAGCGTCCCAGCCTCTTTTTTGAATGCAGGCAAAAGTTGAGACAATAATGTTTTCACTCGCTGCAAATACAACATGAGTGTCTTTGTACGAACACATTTAACTTGTTTTTTGGGCCATCTCTGAAGAGAAACAGGAAATGTTGGGACATGAAGCAAAGGGCTAAGGGTCAGTATCAAACCCACATCCGCTGCAACTAGGACTTTCACCTCTGTACATTGGGCATGCGACATAACCGCTAGGCTATCAGCACTCCCAATTACCAATTCTGTTAAATCTCAAGTACTCGCTAGTCATAAGGCTCAAGTCCAAGTGAAGTCACGAGTCATTGGTGGTGTAAGCCCTTTATGATATTGTCAAGTCGAGTCCAAAGTCATCCAATCTGTGAATCAAAGTCAAGTGACTCGAGTCCACACCTCTGGTTCTTGGTTTATTTTGCCTGTTGCCAAATCCACGCTAGCTTTTTCAAGTCTTTATGCTGAGATAAGGGAACAATCTTCTGGCTCTGCTGTCTTTATTAATATAGAGATAAGAATAGTAGCCTATATATTTCACCAACATTGTAAAAACCCATATTTTTGAACTATTCTTTTGACTTGATTTACTTATACCTCCTACATAAGCCTCCCTCTGCATTATCCATGTAAGGTATCGACATGCTGCCTTCCACATGATGTTTAAGTACTTATAGAGAGCAGGTAGGTAGGCAGGCAGAAAAGCAGACAGGAACGAGGGATGAGATCCAATCGAAGTGGAAGACAGTTAATGAAACAGTGACCTTCAGGTCATCTGTGCTGGTTGTTCCAGAGATTTATTATTGGGCTTTGGCATCACTTAACCTACAACAATCACAAGGCCAGGCAACCTCAAAGGAATAGAAGCATGATGGTCGCATGCCCACACACACACTCCCACACACACTCACAAGGACACTTCTGGTAAGGCTATTCTTAAGACAGCAACAAAGGTTCCACTAAGACACTGCCATGCCTATAAATGCTTCTCATGTGACCCGTGACCTTTTAAGACTCTGGCTCCTGAATTTCAATCAGGTGGGTCCCATCCCCGCTGCTATCAATCAACTCCTCTCCTACGCTGCCCTCCTTGATTAATCGATTCAATCAATTACATGGATTGATAAAATGATTGATGAACTATAAAAAAGCGTATGTACTCTTTCCACAGCGTGTGATTTAATCCTGTTAAATTTATAAGCCTGATGCCTAGGCTCGGTCACGTTGGGTAATATTTGATTACAGAGGTGAAACTTCAAAAGTATCACTATGTATTGCTTCACTGAATAATAATTACCAGAGTAAATTCTCCAAGGTAAATCATAGCTCACTGTATACGTTCTGACATGAGGAGTATGGGTCTTTTGTGCTGTCATTTTATTCACACTGCAGCTTCTTTACAATGCCTTTGCCTGGGTGAACTGAATTCAGAGCAAATCCTCACATGGCCACACCCTCTCCTCTTCTTATAAAGCGCCAGTAAGTGAGTAATCTTCTGGGGCTTTACTGTATTTACCCTTTGCAACACAGAAAATGTTCACTTTAAAGCCCGCAACGCAGAATTTAAGTCGCCCTGCAGCTCTGCACAGACACATATCGAGCTCCTCAAAGAGCAAAACACTGCCATCGACTTACAACTACTAATCCTGACAGAAAATGACACTTACACCAAATGCACAGCGGTTGCACACCTGAATGAAAAAAAAGACAAACCCAGAGATTTATAGACACTGTCGAATATACAGATTAAAGATGCAATTTCTCCAATAACCACACACAAGCAGCTTGCTAATGCCGGCAAAACATTTGCTAATCACATTCTTTTAAAAATGTGTTTGCAATTGTAGCAGTGCTGCAATGGTAATTCAGTCTGGCAGCCACCAACATTAGAATTTAATTCTCGTAAAAAATCTGAATCAAATGTTGAGTTGGTCCTGATTAGCCCCTTTAGGCTCTTTAGTGAGAAACATCCTTTATTGGAAAAAGAAAGACAACACAAAATAATGAAACACACCATTATAGAGGTGTTAAGAGATATACACGTCCAGTAATGTACAATCCCACATGTATAGCTCTTCATAATAGGCACAACACATGTTTTATTAATGATACAATAAGTTCTCATTTGGTATTGAA